AGTGAGGACAGGAAGAAGAGGAGGAGAAAAGAAAATGATTTTCCAGGGGGAAGAGGAGGAGGAAGAAAAAGAGGAGAGGAGGAAAAAGAAGAAGAGGAGGAGAGGACGAGAGGAGGAGGAAGGGGAAGAAGAGGAGAAGAGGAGAAGAGGAAGAAGAGAGAGAGAGAGACAGAGAAGAGGAGGAGAAAAAAAAGAAATGGAGGATAGGAGGAGGAAGAAGAAGAAGAGGAGGAAGAACACAAGCGGTGAAGGAGAAGAAGAGGGGAAAAAAAAAATCAGGCCAGGTCTTCCCGATGTACTTCCTGTGTCAAGGCAGGGGCGGCATCACGAAGCGGAGATATGGAGGGGCGGCTTCATCAGGCGCAACGATGCGGGCGGAGCTTCAACCCATGGCACAGCTGGAGWCTGTAGCTCCACTTTGTGAAACTCCATTGGCGAGGCCTTGCCGACGGTCGGGAAGGCCAACGGGGCGCTACCTTCGGTAGAGGTCCGTCGGGAATGCCGACGGCGCGCTATCGGCCCAGTAGGCCCMGCSAATTTWWTTTTTTTTCCTGCGGGTTGCCTACCAGTCGCCRACTGGTTGGCGCCGACGGCGCCTACCRTCAGCTGGTCGGCCGCCGACGGGTTGGAGGCTGCCGACCATCGGCGTGACTAGGCAACACCATAGCCGACCTGTCTCATGTACCAGGTACGTATCTCATCTCCCCTCATCAGACCCTATTCACCCACACTCGCCTCMTTCCTTAAGACCACCGATTGCCCTCTTACCCCCCTGCGCCAGCCTGGCTATGGCTGCTAGCGCCCCTCCTCACCTCACAAGCGCCCGCACGCACCCTGGCCGCTAGCGCAGCATGGAGCGTCTCGCGCAGCAACGGAGCAGCATGACCGCATTGCCCGCGTGGGTCAGAATGCCMGACCCTGGCTGCACTCCTTCCTATATGGMAGTGGCAGCCTCTGCTTGGCTGCGTGTGGCCAGGCTGGGAASCTTCCGGTCGGGCCCCGGTACCTGCGCCCAGGCCCAGTGCTACAGTTGAGGGCCTGGGCCCTTTACATTTGGACACGGCCTGAGTCTCCAGACTTGGGACRTTTGCTGCATTTGCACAGGACCGGGGGTATGTACGTCGACAGTGCTGATTTTGTGTAGGCCTGTAGGCACTTCGTGATGTATCGGTCCTGCATTGTTTGTATGTGCCCAGGCGCAACTGCCACGGCCCGGGCCAAACTGTAYGATGCAGCTTAGGGAGGCTCATGCGTCCACTCAACCAACTKGCGGGCTGTAACAGCCTGAGTACCCTCATATGAAAAATGTCAAATTTTGGCCTCTAGTGAATTTTCAGGCCCACCKCCACTTAGGGCGGGCACTTGGCTTGCGGGCGGCCTCTGCCCAGAACATGTGCATGTTTGACAAGGGCCCCGCGAGGGTTAAACCTCGCACATGCAGATTCACGCCCTGGAAAAGGAAAAAGGAATGCAAGATTGCACCCCACCACTCACAGGAGTTCGCAGCAAAAGCAGCCTAGATTTTCTTTGTTCTAAAAAGGGGAAAAAAAAAGGTAAAAGGAAACGCCCAGTTACTTATAAAATAGAATGTATAGTGCCCAAATAACAGCCTGATACAATTATTAAAATTATGGCATGAAAATGCCTTGAAAAAGGTCGTTTTCTTTTCTCTTCAGCCAAGGCATTTTCTCTGCATGTACCGTCCATGAACGGGGGACCATACATTCGAATCCAGAAGTCTCCAGAGCAATGTGTTCCCATGAGTTCTCATTTCGAATGAGGGCTGCAAGTTACAAAGAACACAGTGTTCCCATGAGTTCTCATTTCGAATGTATGGTCCCCTATTCAAGGACCAATACATTTGAAGAAAATGTCAGTGATCCGGGATGTCCATTTTTTCCATTTTTTGGAACCTGTATGATAGTTTAGCCGCTGCGTCCGTRCATGTGGAAACATGCACGGCRAAAACGATGATTTAGGCCTGGGGTACACCAATTTCTTTTTCGTGGGCCCACCAKCTTCTTCACCCATTTTAGTGYCGAGCCTTTGTTGAACCCCCGAAGTCGCGGTGCGTTTTTGGCTAGGCCAGGTACTGGTGGTTTAAAGAAATGCCCTTGCAATTGCGCGGGCAACACACAATAGAAGAGGTGGATTAGCTGCACTTCTGTTGTAACTCAATGGCAAGGCAAAACAATGARTTCGTCAATAGCGGCTTCCGGTGCATGCACACTCTTCCAAGGTCGCTTATGGATCATTTGGAGTTTGTCGGAAGCCTTCAATCCTCTAATGATGTCCGTAAAAGGTTCTCGCAGTGCAGCAAAGAAATCGTTGAGGTTACCAATGACAGAATAAGCGACCATATCATTTTTGCAGCGAGCGACTCGTGCGAGAGACCTGGCGAAACTAAGTTGCTTCGCCACTCAAGGCCGAAAAGCTATTAGGACATGGTCGTCGAAAGGCACGTTCTGTAAATATAGGTACGATTTAATACTTGCCTCCCAATTGTTAAAGTCGTCATCCCTTCTCGCGGCGGGGTTGTGATTCTTCCTCCTTGGGGACTGCCAACTTGACACCCTCGATCGCATAGCTGCAAAACTTCTTTGCTCTACCGATTGCGGTCTGCATTTCGTTTTACGAGATGAATCATCATCTGCTGGGCGAAGTCGTGGAACCAGGCTCGTATGGATGCAAGTGCTGTATCATGCCCGGAAAGGTGCCTGATCTATTCACGCTGAGCTGCCAGAACAGAGGTCACCCTATGAGAGAGGGTGTCAATCTTTTTCCCTATCTCAGTCTCATCTTTCATCTTACCCAGCCACTTGTCTTTCGCCTTCAATTCCTCCATCTTATCTACCATTTCCAATCACCTCGTCTTCTCCTTTGCGAGGCACAACTTCCACTCCAACTGCTTCTCTTGCTCTTTTGACTGACGACGCAGGGGACTCTTTTCTCTCTCCATCTCTCTTCTTATTGTTTCTCTTTCTATTTGGCGGACTATCAACTTTGCTTCTTTGTCCTCCCCCAAAGATAATCCTGCCACCCAATCCTTTACAATTATCTCCACCTCTTCCGGTGGGGGTAGACCTGTACTCGATTCTCCTCTCTCCTCCCTCCTTTCTTTTGGGCCCTTCATTGCTTCCTTCTCTCTCCTCCTCTGTAACGGGGGCCCCTCTTCTTTCTTCTTCTTCAGGCAATTCTTTGGCCAACTTCACCCCATTTTCCTTTTTCCACGCCTCCATCTCCTCCATCTTTTTCTTTCTGGCCGCTTCTTCTCCCAGCCAGGCCAAGTTTTTGGCCTGTTTCTCCAAGGCGGAGGTTAGCTCAGGAAGCTTCACGACCAGCCCCTCCCACCCGGACTGTGGTCCCTCCCTCAGACAGACAGCTTCGCCCTCGCAGGTAAGCTCGGTTCTTCAAGGAGGGGGGGGTGTGGCATACTGCGTATTCACACGGGCCCTGCAGTGACCATCCCGGACATTCAGCCTAAAAGCCTAAAACTTAGGGCGTACAGGCCCCGGTCGTTTCAGCCTATTTCTGGGTCTTTCAGACCCAGAGTTTTTCCAGCCTGAAACGGAGGGCCATTTTCAGGCCCTCATTGTTTCATCCCCCAAGACTCAGGCACGGAAACAG